ATGCTTTCAGGGGAGTCGTTAGGTGGTGATCAGGCTGGCTGGCAGAAGCGGTTAGTGGCAATCAAGCAGGCAGGCAAGCGAGCGGTTGGGAGCCAGCAGTCTTGTATTGTGAGAGGGATGTCTGACTGCCAGTTTATAAACTGGCAGTCGGACATCTCCCAAGGGGTTCCAGATTTGAGAGGGTGCAGGCTGGGCTGAGGGACACCCCCACCCCCACCCCAGTGCACAAATTTGGTGCACTGGGCCTCTAGTATGTATTATTTGTTGTATTCTTCCAATAAAGTAAGGTAGAGAAAAGAAAATGTTATTATTAGAAAATAATAAGGTGCTGGGGTAAGGGGGAGTAGGGGAAGGTGGATAACGGGGATAAACGGTGATGGGCAGATATTTGAGTTGGGGTGGGATTTCTGTATCTCCAGGATTTCCCAACAGAATATCACTGAGGCCGAGTTTCTTCCTAGAATTCACGTGAATGTTGAAGATAAATTAGTCCTCGAGAATTTCAGGGAGACAGTCGTGCAATTTCTGGACAAGAATCTTTAAGAAGAGACAAGGTGTTTTTCTGGCAGGCAATAGAAAGGAAAATCATAAGGAAGAGAAAATACATTTACAAGATTGTATGTATTTAGTTTGAAAAATCCGGTGTAAGTGGATTCAAATCTGTGTTGTTCAAGGTCAAGTGTACTTTCTAATACACATTAAAATATAGAGTCTTTAAAATACTCTCTGCACCCAATTTTGAAAATAGTAATGATGCATGGCTACAGCTTCTAGATTTTTGCTTCAGGAGCACCTGCTCAGGTAGCCTCTTCTGACAGTCACCCTAGGCGAGGGTTCTTGGTTTTGGACTTTCTCATAGGTGCTGTAGTCACTGATGGCACTCACCTACAAACTGAGACCCAAGACTTGGGCAATTATGTGATGAAAGCCCATTTTGTCCTCTAAACTACAATGCCAAGAGAACAAGCTGCAAAACTGTCAATCTTTGGAGCATTTTCTCAATCTGTTGGGTTTTGCTTCCCACCAATTGCCATTAGTTTGGCTCAAATAAACTCATAAAGATTACCTGCAGGTTTTGATGTTTCTTAGGGATGTTCCACAACCCTACTATGAAACCTTAAGTCTTTTCTACATTCAGTCAAGCGCCTTCTTCCTGCGTTCCATCTTCACCATGCAGCTAGCTCTGCTACATGCAAGTCTAACCATGTGACGCCTGCTCACAATGGCTTCCCACCAGCCTTAGAATTAAGCCCTTGCTTTTAAGGTTCATAGTCATCTGGCCAGGACACTTGCAGTCTAATTCACCTTTATTCTCTCTTTCTTCTCTGCCACATATTTGGGTAGAGAAGCCTATCAAGGGAAGGTTTTGGGTTTCAGTTAACTGCTGCTGCCTTTGGGGGATGGGGAGAATGTGTGCCTATATTTTAAAATCTCAATTGTTGTGCGGGATGAGGGAGGGGATTCTGTCAGGTTCTGCTTGATTCCAACCCAATTTACTCATTCAACTGTTTTGGGCATTTAAGTTGTTTGTAGTTGGAGTAATTTACAAATAGTTCTACTATAAACATTTTTATACATATTTTTTGGTTCACAGTTGTACGTATTTTTGTTGGAAATATATTTAGGAGTGCAATTTATGGGGCCCAGGGAATACACATGGTCACATTTATTTAATGCAACCAAACAATTTTCCAAAGTAGTTTGGAAACCAACCAATATACAACTCCACTATCTTGCCAATATTTTACATTGCCTTTTTCACTTTGGCCATTTTAATGAGTATGTAGCCATACCACTTGAAAAATTTTTTTTAATTTATTGATTTTAGAGATAGAGAGGAAAAGACAGAGAGAGAGAGAGGAAGGAGGGAGGGAGTGAGAGAGGGAGAAAGAGAGAGAGAGAGAGAGAGAGAGAGAGAGAAACATCAATTTATTGTTGTACTTCTTTCTTATATGTATCCTGACCGGGAATCAAAACCATGGTATATCAGGAGGACACTCTAACCAACTGAGCTACCTGGTCAGGGCCAGGACTACCACTTTTGGTTTTAATTTTTTTGACTTTTTAAAACTTTTATTGAACTACTCTTAGACCTACAGAAAAATTGAATTAATAATACAGAGAGGTCCTGTATATTATTCAAAGTTTACCAATGTTAATGCAGTCATTTTATCAATTGCTTCCTTTATAGATAGTGCTTTTTTGTGATCTCTATAAGAGTGTTGGTTTTAGTATCTATTTTTTAGTCAACCTCTAAAAACCTGGCCAAGTAACTAGTAAATTGGTTTCTTTGCTCCCCCTTTCCTACAATAGTACTAACCTCATTTATGAAGGGACTTTAATTAAGAAAAGAGAAAATTTTCTTAGAGTGGCTTTGTGGAGATGATCCCATGATACCTTCTCTGCATCTCTGAGTCTCTGTCCCTGTGGAGACATACACTCTGGTTCTCTAGTCCTTTAATGATACTCAGAGAAAGCTGGGAACTGGTCTAAGGAGAAGCCCACCAGTTCCCTTAAGTTCAGATCGAAGAACTCAAGCATGAGATTCCCTGGAGGTAAGAGGAAACATTTAGGAAGAGAATGATGTATATACCTGTCTTCTCAGGGTCAGCAATCAGTCACCCAGGAGTTCTCTTCTATGAGCTGTGCTCCTTAGGATATGAACTGCCTTGGGGGAAAATGACAGTACACATTTGGATAATGAGGAGTTTTGGGAATTGAGCCCCCAAGGCCACAGAGACTGCAACTAGTCTACCTGTGACCCTTCTACTCAACAGCCCATCCCAGGTCAAAAGCCAGCACACCTGAGTCTCCTGAGATGATCCTTCTTTCCCAGAAGCCCAGCTACCTTCGTTGGTCCACCTGCCCTTCCTGGGGACAGATTTCCCACCTCCACACTTCAATTTCCAGAGGAAAGATGAGTTACTCGTTGATGGCTCCTAGGTAATCTTAAGTGCCCCAGTAAATGCTGTGAAATATTGGACAGTTGTTGTTTTTCAACCAGCCTATCTGGAGGACATCCAAGAGGTAAGAGAAAGTTTAGTAAGATTAACTTATAAAGTGAAATTTGAAACTAATTTCATATATTTACTTTCCCTGTTTCATCTAATTTGCTATCAGCTTTCATCATTTCTGGCTCCTATTGTGTCTTCTAAATTCTAGGGACTCTTTCCCCACCTGAGCATGGATTAGATTAGCCTCTTCAAAAACCAGACAGATGTCGATTTCCCACCTCCACACTTCAATTTCCAGAGGAAAGACGAGTTACTCATTGATGGCTCCTAGGTGATCTTAAGTGCCCCAGTAAATGCTATGAGATATTTGACAGTTTGTTTTTTATTTTTCAACCAGCTATCTGGAGGACATCCAAGAGGTAAGAGAAAGTTCAGTAGGATTAACTTATAAGTGAAATTTGAAACTAATGTCATATATTTACTTTCCCTGTTTCATCTAATTTGTAACCAGCTTTCATCATTTCTGGCTCCTATTGTATCTTCTAAATTCTAGGGACTCTTTCCCCACCTGAGCATGGATTAGCCTCTTCAAAAACCACACAGATGTTCTACCATTCTCTGGTTTCCCTCATTTATTTGGTCTTGAGTAGGGCAAGGGTGGGGTACATTTGGCTTCTCGATTTTTCCATATTTGGTTCAGATTTCATTCTTACAGGAGAATCAAGTCTCATCCCTCTCTCTTTACTGTGTGGACTCCGGGATTGGAGATTGAGATTCACTCGCTTACATTTTCAGTCTTTCTTTGAAAAAACCCTACACAAAACAGTATTTTAAATAAAAATAAATATTTTAAACCACCAGAACAGCACAAGTGAGCAGTAAATAAACAGCATGCAACCACTTTCCAGAATTAATGCTGAAATTTTGCCCTATTTGCTACAGGCACCTTTTTAAAATAATAAAGTATTATACATTACATAAAGTCTTCTTTATTTTCTTTTCTTTTTAACTGAGTTTCAGAAGCAGTAAATAAACAGCATGCAACCACTTTCCAGAATTTATGCTGAAATTTTGCCCTATATGCTTCAGGCACCTTTTAAAAATAATAAAGTATTATATATTACATAAGTCTTCTTTATTTTCTTTTATTTTTAACTGAGTTTCAGACATCCAACATCTACACAGAAAGGCCTTTCTTTGCCTTCATACAGGCATAACTTATGTCATCATGGAAAAGTCCTCTTTATTATTATTTATCCCCCTCCTTCCCTCTCAGATGTTACCACTCTATGGAATTTGGTGGGTATTTGCCACACTTATTCTAACACTATTATTACATGTGAATGTGTCTCTATAAAGACTTCTCTACTATGGGAAAATTATAACAAACCCAAATGTCCATTGATGTGAGAATGTATGTTAAAATTAATGAACCAGACCTCCTTATATCAATCTTGATAAATATAGGAACTCAGGCATAACTTATGTCATCATGGAAAAGTCCTCTTTATTATTATTTACTCCCCTCCTTCCCTCTCAGATGTTACCACTCTATGGAATTTGGTGGGTATTTGCCACACTTATTCTAACACTATTATTACATGTGAATGTGTCTCTATAAAGACTTCTCTACTATGAGAAAATTATAACAAACCCAAATGTCCATTGATGTGATAATGTATGTTAAAATTAATGAACCAGATCTCCTTATATCAATCTTGATAAATATAGGAACTACAATGTTAAGCCGAGGCAACCAATCAATGATTCTCTCATCATTGATGTTTCTCTCTCTTTCTCCCTCTCCCTTCCTCTCTGAAATCAAAAAAATATATTTTTAAAAACATTGCTGAATTAAATATACAAAGAATAGATGGAAAATAAAACCTTGGGACAGAGGGTGGTATGAGGCAGGTTGTATGGGAATATAAAGCAAGGAAAGAAGAAGAGAGGGTAAGAGAAGAAAGCAGGAGAAAACATCTATAACTGATTTGGTCTAAAAATATAGACAAGTTTAAGGAAGTTTCCCTTATGTAGTGTTTGATCATCACCTCCATCTTTCCTATCAGGATCAACAACATGAAATCAGGAAACCTCTCTGATACTGCAGAATTCCTCCTCCTGGGACTGTCAGGGGATCCAGAACTGCAGCCCGTCCTCTTCTGCCTGTTCCTGTCCATGTACCTGGTCACTGTGCTTGGCAACCTGCTCATCATCCTGGCCATTATCTCCGACTCCCACCTCCACATGCCCATGTACTTCTTCCTCTCCAACCTGTCCTTTGTTGACATCTGTTTCACCACCACCACGATCCCGAAGATGCTGGTGAACATTCAGACACAGAGCAAAGCCATCAGCTACACGGGCTGCCTCACCCAAATCTGCTTTGTCCTGACTTTTGCTGGATTGGAAAATGGAATTCTGATAATGATGGCCTATGATCAATTTGTGGCAATCTGCCACCCCCTGAGGTACAACGTCATCATGAGCCCCAGACTGTGTGGGCTGCTGGTTCTGCTGTCCTTTCTTATTAGTGTTCTGGATGCCCTGCTCCACACTTTGATGGCACTACGGCTGTCCTTCTGCACAGACCTGAAAATCCCCCACTTTTTCTGTGAATTAGCTCATATTCTCAAACTCGCCTGTGTATTTAGTGACCAGCTTGTTGGGTGTTGTTCCTCTCTCTGGGATAATTTTCTCTTATACTCGAATTGTGGCCTCCATTCTGAAAATCCCATCAGCTGGTGGAAAGTATAAGGCATTTTCCACCTGTGGGTCTCACTTAGTAGTTGTTTCCTTGTTCTATGGGACGGGTTTTGGGGTATACCTCAGTTCTGAGGCTACACACTTTTCCAGGAAAAGTGCAATAGTATCTGTGATATATACAGTGGTCATCCCTATGATGAATCCATTTATCTATAGTCTGAGGAACAAGGACATGATAGGGGCTTTGAGTAAGCTCATCTCTAGAATATCATCTTTTCATTGATATGTCAGCTGCTTTGGGCTTACATTGCTGGCATATGACAGAGAGAAATAAATAATGAGAGATCCAGAAAGCCTAACCAACCTCTTTGAATACCCCATACCAGAGATCAATTGGTTAAGGGTGAGCATTTTAGAATCAGACCCTCTGAGTTTGAATCCTCCCTCTGTTAAACCATAGTTCTGGGTCTTTAACAATTTATTTCAACTCTCTAAGCTCGGTTTCCTCATCTATGAAATTGGCATAATTATAGTAGTTTACATGTTGAGAATATTTGAGATACTTCATTCTCTCAGTGAGGATTTATGACTTCAGCTGTAATAAGGCAAAAGTCTCAACTCCAATAGTGTCAAATGATAAAAACAAGTATCTTCCCCAAGAAAAACTTCCGAGATCAGGTAGGTCCAGGCACAAAACCACAGGGCTGCATTTCACTCTGCCACGTGTTGGCTTCTTCCTCGACTCACAAAACAATGAACAGGGCTTGCTTAAGCTGAAAGTAAGCTTTGCATAGGCCTGAGTCATGACGACCCATCATGACTTGCCCAGTGAGGAATTTATGATCAGGACACCCTGTGAAGTTACTTTCAATTACATTTATTACAGAGTCCATTTTCATCTTTACTGTGAATTTATTCACACCTGGAGAAGTTCCTTCCTTAGCCTATTAGCACCCATAGAAATTACTTCCTTCTTTTCATGTAACTATTCCCCTTTCATTTCTCATACATATCCCATACCTTTACCTCCTAGTTGGAACAATATTTGGGTTTCGGCCTAAATCACTGATTCCTGAATAGCTATTGTTTTGGATCTCAAGTAATAAATTTTAGACACCTCCCTTACCCTTCTTAATCCAGAATGACATAAATACCTCATTTTGCCTTACTGTCTTGGAAATGTTCATGCTAATGTGAATTCTCCTTGCTTACCTATTAAAAGATGATATTCTCTTGTTAATTTGCCTAATGTCATTTTAATTATTCAACCCCAAAAGAACTAAGAGGGAAAAGGGAAAATTCCCCCATCCTCAATATTGCTATAGCACCATAATTAATCTTGCTATTTTGTAAAGCAATTACTCTACTTGCTCTTCTTTGCCATCAAGTCAAATATTTTTCTCCATTGCTCTTTCATATAAATTAATATATATATTTGTATTGATTTCAGAGAGGAAGGGAGAGGGAGAAAGAGATAGAAACATCAATGATGAGAGGGAATCATGGATCGGCTGCCTCCTGCACATCCCCTACTGGGGATGGAGCCTGCAATCCAGGCATGTACCTTGACCCGGAATCGAACCAGGACCTTCTGGCTCAACCACTGAGACACACCAGCCAGGTTTATATAAATTTTTAAATCTGCTTTTCACATACAATAACATCCCAGAATTTTTATTAATTCTATAATGATATTTAAGGCAAATAAAAGCTCTGTGCTATTTCACACACACACACAAACACACACACACACACACCTTATCTAATAAAGAAGGAATATGCTAATTGACTGTCACACCCTCACAAATGGCGGTACCCACAGCCATTAAAGAGGAATATGCTAATTGATTGCCATGCCCTAACAAGATGGCAGCGCCCACAGCCACAAGATGGCGGTGCCCAGTCCCCTCAGCCCCGCCTCATCCCGCCGGAGTCCCCCAGTACCCTAAGCCCCACCTCATCAACTGGAGTCCCCTAGTCCCCTCAGCCCCACAGGGTAAGGCAGTTGGGGGCAATCAGTCTGGCAGGGGAGGGCGGTTGGGGATGACCATGTCAGCAGGGGAGCAGTTAGGCGTCAATCAATCAGGCTGGCAGGCAGAGTGGTTAGGGGCAATGAGGTAGGCAGGCAAGTGGTTAGGAGCCAGCAGTCCCGGATTGTGAGTTGGACATCCCCTGAGGGGTCCCAGATTGGAGAGGGTGCAGGCTAGGCTGGGGGACACCACCCCCCACCCACCCCCCGTGCATGAATTTAGTTCACTGGGCCTCTAGTATCCTATATAATAAAGAGGTAATATGCAAATTGACCACCACACCCTCACATGATGGCTGCCCACAGCCAGGCTGGCAGGGGTGTTAGTGAGGGACGACCAAACGACTGAACAAGCAGGCTGAGTGGGGCAACCATACTGGCAGGGGGGGGCAGTTGGAGGCAACCAGGTTGGTGGGGGGGGCAGTTGGAGGCAACCAGGCC